CAGCGAATAGAATAATATACAGAACCGGAGGGAGGCATAAAAACCGTGTTGGAAATGGCGAATCGTTACGGAATTCAGTCAGGTGAAATAGTCCCTGCGGATTCGACGGCCGACCGAAGAGGAATGCTTGCTGTTTATGTGCTTGATCCACCAGAAAACGTTCAACCTGATCGGATCGAGTAAATTTTTAACAAGACCAAAGTTCCAGATTCGTACAAAGAAGTCCACCAGGCATTACCGGGAAAACAAAACGTTCCACTGGATCGTATTAACGATTGGACGATTTCAAGTCAAGGAATTTCCATCAGACAGTGCAGGCCCCTGACAATAACCGAATCCGAAATTCGCTAAAATTTCTTTGTCTCCAGTTTGGTGGCACATTTTGTGCGACGTTCGGCTGAAATTTAAAATCTGCCAAATACTCTTTCGCTTCTTTTAAGTATTTACTTTTTAAATTTTTAGGTGGAATTTTAGGACTAGAAACTAATGATATTTAACATATTAAAAAATAACAAATTTTTTGTGACCTGAGGACTTAAGTGTCTTGAAACAAGGCAACTCTTTGATTACTAGTAATCATATTATTCTTTGTGAACAGCATTGAGTTTAGTTCCTACATTTGAAGTAATCTGATTGCAGGTAACTATTTATACCTTAAATTTACATTGACAAACACACTCGCGACAATGGTAAATTATATTTTTCATCAATAATTCATAGGCGTGTATTGTGTTTTGCGACGACATTACAATATGCTTCTCTGTTTTCAAATTACAGGGTAGTCTGACGGGTTGGTGTTTGTTTTTGTTGACCACTTGAAATAGACGTTTTATTGTCTTTTTATAGTGTTATAAAGTCGCCGGTGAATGACTTATTATAATTTAACGGCGGCGTAAACTGCGCACGGCCCTTATATTTTAAATTGTAACATGAAATCGCGGTGAGCTCACATTGTGCTCGTAAAAAATGTATGCCAAACAGAACGGTTATGATTGCAAACATTTATATCGAGTAATCTGAACGGGTCGAGCGATCGTGCTTGGAATGGATGGCATCGTTGGCCTAGCCATGGTAACACTGCGGATTATCATAATCGTAACACGTATTCCAGCAATGACCATAAACTTTTCGCAAAAGTATAATCCAGAGACCGCGCGGTGGAGTGAATTAAGTTATTAAAAGTTGTATCGGTTCGAGATGGTTCCCCGAACGACGTCGTTGCACGCACGACCTTAACAATTTAAATATATTGAATTAATTATTTCATCGCCAACGTGTGTGCTTTGTTTTCGTCGCATTGATTACACTCTGTCTAACAAGAGAACGAAAACTGTAACCTACCGAAAAAAAAATTAAATATAATTTTCTATCTAGTAATACCTACTACTTATGATTATCTAATTAAAACTATAAAATATGGTTCTTCATTTTTTTTAAGGAAAAAAAATAACAAAAAGTGCTTTTGTATTCGGTTACTAACTTGTTAAAATTATATTGGAGTATTCTGATTTTCTTTAGTGTCATTATTAAACATAATGATTAGTTTCAAAGTGATAACAACTCAGATGACAGCTCTTTCGAGACTAATCAAACTTAATTCTTATTTCTATAACAGTTTATATTCACAAAGTACATTAGTTGGGGAACAAATAAATCAAGTAAGCAAATAATATTGTTTACGCAATTGGCGAGCACACAAAACAGAGAGCAGAAGTGTCAGTTGACAGCCTTTTCGTGAATTTTGGTTTGTGAATATCGATGTACGGTTATGGTTATAGGTACATGGCTTTTAAAAAATCACTGTTTGGCACCCTACAGCAAAAATAAGCGTGAGCGCAAACGTACACAATAGATATACATACATTGTACTCTATTTTCGAATTTACTCCTTGATGGACACTTTGGTATTATACACTGTGCAATAATAATATTATCGTAGGGGAATTCAGAAATTCAGCTTAAAAAGGTCCTCTCTAGCCCAGTGACCGAGTCCCGGGAGGCATAGTAAAGCCCACCCTCTTCTGTAAAGTTTCTCAGACATATTTTATCATACAATGGCTTGGCAAAGTGTCAATGGTCCTTCACGACATGTATATAATAATAATTATTTTACTAGACTGCCGTTACTACTGAATAATAGTTTATATGGTTCGCTATATTATAATATGAAACTTCACTAAGTTATTTCTGCTGTCTGCACACATAACACATTAACTACATAGTAAAGTACTTAGTTGGTGGAAAATATCGTTACGTGAACATTTTAATGAATGTTCGAGGCAAATCGACAGTGCTTCGAATAACTTTCACTGTGTTTTTAATTTAAGTTAGTGATAATAATAAAATGGATAACTTAAAATTATTGTATTAAGAATACAGTATCCTAGGTAGGTGTGTGACTTGGTGTGGAATTTTCGAATGTAACGTTTAATATTAATCGATTAAAAAAATAACTGATTATTCGAATAATGTTATTTGAGTTAAATTCTTTATAATTAGTCATATTTTGTAAAGAATACGGTTATATTATCTCCGATCAACTGGGATAATTAAAATTGAATGGAGCAAGTGTAAATTATACATTACACATAAAGTAATTGGCAGTTTTCTTATAATAAAAATTCTAATTTTTAGCACATATATAATGTCATTACAATGCTTTTATTGATATTTGTACGTATAGTTTCAAACCTTACACAGATTGTCACACCGATCGTACTGTATACTGGCATTTTTTCTTTTGTTTCAATTATTGTTAATAGGTTAAGTGATTTGTTTTAGTATTTATTCGTTATTTAATTTAAATTTTATCCGTCTGGAGCTGTCCTCGTATTGTATATTATACTATTAAGTGTGCCATGTTGTGTTGTGTTTGGTATATTATTATTGTATAAACTAGAAATGAGGAATCGAGACGACTCGTTAATATTATGTCGTTCAAGCGTTATAAGAGCTACGTTTTAGCCCCCAGAGACGCTTTTGACTTTGAACGTATTTAATATGTGTCGCAGATCTCAAACGGGGTATATTAAATATATTTTGTGCTCACAGTAAAAGTAGGTGCAAAATCATACATCAAGTCGACGAATTCTCCGACTCGCAAAGTCAGTGCATATATATATATATATATATATAATAATAAAATGTTTAAATCTAGCACTAGGAATCGGTGAGATTTCAATTAAGACCCGACCGTTTGTGCGCACCCCAAAGGGATAACGTTCTGATGCTATTTACAATATCACACTGTACCGAATGTCATTCCGAAATAGCGGAGTTGACGTTTTGCCGTTTGATTTCCAAAATGTCATTCCAGAGATTAAGATTTCAACTACAGACAACGCGACGACGGCAGCTACATTTTGCGTGTTTCCATTTCCACGTCAAATACAACGTTATATAAATCATGTTATCAGCTTCGAGTTTAATCTTAAAATTGTACTGTTTTGTTAATAAACTTGCGGTCAGTTCACGAAGTCTTCCCCTCGTCGTTATCCATTTTCACCCCAGCAGCATTGTTAAAGGTTCTCAAATGTAAACACATTAAACCGTTAAAAGGAATAATATAATAATAATTACACGCTCTACCGAAACTGCCAAATGACACGTGCCCGTCACAAACTTTTAAGGCTCATTTTTTATTTATACATTTTTTTGTTTATACTAAAATATTTAGAATTTGGCAAACTTTGAATATTTACACTAGACTATTTCTCTATCTACCCTCTAAAATTCTTAAACATATAACGTCCAATGCTTTGTTTTTTTGTTTCAAATTTATTCATTCAAGCTCTTGGTTATACAGGTATACTTTATCGTTGCTTAACTTGTTTTTTCTAGTTTTTTTTTTTTTAACAGTATAATATAGAAAATTAATGAGGACAGAATATTAAAATATAATATTTTTGGAGCATGTTATTTAATTTATTATTCAGCTTACAACTGGACAAATTTTTTTAAAACATTTTACGCCAATCTAATCGATATAACAAGTGAAAAATAAAACTTTCCAAAATAATTTATAATATTTTTTTGTGCTTTTATTACGAAAACAACGTGCTTTTAATTCAATATATTATTCAAGTATCGTTTTCCACTTTTTAAATTATTTTCTTTGCTCGGTGGGTTTATTTTCTACTGAGTAATTAACGAAAAGCTCGGGCACAAATAATAATTGAGGCCTTTTAACGTTGTTTCAAAGAATTGTATTAGATCTCGGCTGAACGAAAATAAGGGAAAGATAAACAGGAAACACGCACCGTTAAGGTTACTGTTGTGAGACGGTTACTTGGATTATGGATCTTGGTTAACTAGGGTTCTAAACGCGTGCAAGCCAAATCATTAATACCAACCCGCCTTGGATGGTTTGTATAACGTGTGGAGGACTTTGAAAACTTGTTCGCTAAACTCTAATATCAATCGAAAAGTCTTAAAAGAGAACCAAGGGAGAGGAATTGAAATGCACCGTGACTTTTTAAGTATTTTGGTCTTTCTTTTTTTCTTTTATTATTTCTTTCGGAACCAAAAAAAAAAACTTTTGAGAGTTCTCTGCTGCGTTTAATTTGACTTATGTTTCTTTATCCCTCGATTCTAAAGTTAGTTTGCACAAAAAAAATGACGATTTCAACTTTTCCCCCCTTCCGGCGGATATATTATACAAAAATCTCAAACGGAATAATAATAAAAAAAGCGAAGGATATATTCGACCCGGCGACGGCTTCACGCACAATTATTATAATAAAAAGAATAATATACACAAACGACACGTGATCGTGTTCGTTTGTTTTAATCACAACGACGACGGCTTACAAAACCAAATATTCAGATGAACGAAAATACCTCTCAAGTTTCTGCTGGGCTGTTTTTTTAAACTGAAGAAAAACTCATTTCACAAACCATTAAACATGACCATCACGCCGTAAGATCGTATTTGCAGTCTTTACCTCGCATATTTTTTAAATTATAAGTATTTCGAAAACGGGCATAAAAAAATAACTCACCAATTGGGTTTTCAGTCTTGTCTCGTTTTCTAAAAACAAAACAAAAATCAATCTGTTAAAAAACAATGTTGACATAAAAAAGTAAAACAAAAAATAATATAGTATACAAGAGCCGGGTAATACAAATTTTACTTTATAATATATTTTTCTACATAAAACCATTATTTTAGAAAAAAAGTTCACCATTTTAATGATGAAAATTGTCCACATAATATTTCAATCCACGATAGCTTTAACACATTAGTATAATCAGTTTAAATTAAAAATATTATTTTATAGGGATTTATTCAGGGGATACATATTAAAAGTCAAATAGCAATCTACAAAATAGTTGAATTATCTAAATAGTTAAATAGTTTTGAATAAATGCTCTCTGAGTTATTCGCATTAAAGCTATAATGATAAAAATAGCATTATATACAATCTACTCGTCACCTGACTACTAACTTTAAACGCTAACAACTTGAAAGGTAATTATTCAGGACTGGTTAACGACCAGACATAATTTTTATTCCTCTTTAAATGGGTAAATGAAGTATACTTTTAAGAGTTACCCACTAAAACCACCCATTAAATTATGTTTATAATTTTTAACTTGAACGCAAATAAAAACTATAATAAAGAAATAATAAAATTAAATATTTAATTCATTAATATATATAACCACAAGTGTTGGTTAAGTTTTTTCTAGAATAAAAACTGTTGATAATATGACATAATGATCAATAATTAATTTAAAACTACTGTAATTAAAATCACAAGTACAACAAGATATTGGAACAAAAACTAAATTACATTTTTATTTTTTTATTTAAATCTTGATGTACTTGATCTAGACTAGTTATTTTCCAAATCACTTTAAAAGTTGTGAAAATTACCATTTTGAGGTTCAGCGTGTTCCAAATGAAGCTTCATTCGAATTTATTTTTGTTTTTTGCTGATTTTGGAATTGATTTTGTATTTTTAAACTCAGGAAACACATAGAAAATAGTGATTTTCGTTTTGTAGGTAGTTTAGAGCTTCTTTAGAGGCGATTTAAAATACAAGTTGAGAGTGCCAAGGAAAACCAGAGGCCAGTTTGGATTTCAGCGGACAGAACAATGTGTGTTTTAGTGTTTTGGGTGAATTTGTTTATGCAATAGAGGGTGAAATTTTGATTATGCTGTATAATAAATTCGTCGTTAATCCATAAGAGTGTGCATTAAAACAGCGGGCTGTGACGGCATTAATAAACAGTTAATAATAAGGAATTTAAAAAAAAAAAACGTATTTTAGTGGGAAAAAGCTGGTTATTTTTTTTTCCGTTAAATGCTTTTTAATACGGCCGCGCTTAAACCGACCGCAAAGCGTCGAAAGAGGGGGTAGAGGTTGGTATAGTGTATTATAGCAAAGGCCCGTGTAGCGAAAATTGCTGTGCGAGGGGTCGGTTGACGCGATCGAAACGTAATTAAATTATTGTTTGCCCGAAGGCGTGTAATGATTATCTGAAAAAATATTCGGGTCACAACGAGGGCGGTGAAAAAAATAAAAAATAAAAAATGAGATATTTATTTGTCGGCTTATGGGCTCTGGTGACCGCGAGGGGGGGGGCGCCCGGTGTGTTTTTTTTTTTGTGTCTACCGTGTCACGTCCCTCTTCTCGCCCTTGGCTTGTTATGACTCACTTTTCTAAACTCTTATTTCAACACGTTACCCTCCCCCCCTCCTCCTGCTCCTGCTCGTCACAACAACTGTAAAAACAGAATCACCGTCGGACTCTGACGAATTTGTTATTTCCTTGTATAGTATATTTGTTTTGAAATTTCCACTTGTTTTTTTTTTCCTATCTTTTAGGTAAACTCAACGGGTAATGTTTTCAATCAAATGTTCAGAACATTCATTCGAATAAATTCTACAAAAAAAAAAAAAACCATACGAAAATATTTAACCTACTCGAGGAAAACTGTAAAAAAAAATGTTTTATTTTTTTTATCTTTATAAAGTAGAAGATATCTAAATGACTTTTTGAGTTATTTATAACACAGATCCTGGGTAAAACTTAGAAAATTTGTTCATATCACGTTTTCAATGTAACTATTTATAACCTTGTCGTTACAAAATGTTAAATTGGTAATGAGTGAATCCAAATAATTGCATTATACAGTTTAAAACCAATTAAAACCTAACCAATACCTTTTTGGTTTCACACCAAGGCGTATTAGTATTTTTTAATATTTGCGACAAATACACCATAAATGCATTTCAAATACGAAATTTCCTATAAAAATATATGTGATTATTTGTAATAACAAAATTAATTTCTAAAAATTTAATTTAAACACTGTCTATTCATATTTTTAATAAGTACAACAACACTGCACAATACAGCACGATTTTAAGCCACAAGAGCCAAATTGTTTTTTTTTAAATCTAAATCTGGCCTCAGAATATCTCTAGCATTAAATGTGTATTTTTTTAAATTGCCTATAAGATTTTAAAAAACCACTGTTTTCTGGTATTTTCAGCGTGTTTTGTACGTTTTAATAATTTTTCATTATTTAAAATTTATTTTATATTAAAAATTATAATATACTCATTGCTTTAGAGCTAGTGTAGACTTTTTTATTGTTTTTTTTTTTTTTAATGCTCAAAAATATATTTTGAAAATTTTGATTTTTGTTTTGTGCATTGTTTATGGCTTCGGCGGAGATTTAAATAGTATTAATAATATTTAACGTCAAAATATAACGTTCTTATCCAAGTATAATACAATATGTAATGCGCGAAAATAAAGTTCCTGAGGGAACACTGCTCGTGTGAAGCAGACCAGAACGGGAACGGTGGTGGGCTTTTGGGATAGGTACTCTGTCGACAGCGGACACACGACAAAAGGTCGTAAATATCATCGGCCGAGTACGTACAGTGTTTTTGAATTCCGCACCGGATGTGCTACAAAGGGGACCGGGCAAATGTCCTTATTTATATAATATATATATATATATATATATATACATATTGTCCGTGTGTCTTTCGCAGTGGAAATAATATCTCAGCGAACAAACGCCGCCATCTACGGCGGTCGCACATAGGCGGCATTAAACATTGCGGCGCGGTCGGTGTGACGAGGGCGCCTCCGAATTATACTTACACATGTATAGTATGTACAAAGTGTACAGTATACAATATATACGATATAGACTATGTGTACGTTGTTTTGTTACATGACTCGGAAATAGAAAAAAAAAAAAAAGAGATCATTATTGAAGGGATATCTAATCCAAATCCAATCGGTCATTGCCGCTAGACTATATGTTTTACTATGTTATTACTTATTATTATATTATGTTAATTGTTGTGTATCATGTTTATTTTATGGTCACGCTCAGCCGATGACGGTCATTGTAATAAAATATATTTTGCGAATCTAAGTTAGCCGTAGCTCGGCTGCGTAATATAGTTAGTACATTTTGTTGTTCGAGTATAATTCTTGTATATTATGTAATTCGTACAAAACATACATGGCGCAGTCGGTAGGATTAGACCACGTGAATTTTGAACGCGAGCCGGACATTGGATACATCCGAAATATTATACTAAACGCCCTATCAAACATTTCAATTACCGCCGGTCGTATTTATTTTATGTAGATAATACACATCAATATTTTACAGTACTGTGGGTATTAGAAGACTGCTGAAAAAAAGAGTCGCCGAAATCCATGGCTGTTTTTTTTTTTAGTTTTAAACAACTATTGTCCACGGGTTCACGGAATAATATAAATTGTGTTTTTCCTTTCCAATAAACACGCACAAAAGCTGGCTGCTATAGGTCCCTGCGAGATTTTAATTTTTTTATTTTTTTTAAAGACAATAGCTCACGACTAAAAAAATGGCATCAACCCTTGCTTTTCCTTTTTATGCTACCGCCCGGGTGACTGCTCCGCCCCCACGTTTTCAATAACAACCAGACGCGAACACATGGTGTGTTTTGCACCGAGATTATGCAGAATAAACCCATTATTACACTGCATCGGTACATGTGCGGTTTTATCGGATTTCCCTTTTTTTTTGGGGGGGGGGGACGAATTGCCGACCACCGTACATCGGGTGGGGTCGCGAAAACTACTTAAAAACCACCATCGTCTGCTACGCGATATTTTCGGCCGAATGAAATTTTTATCAGTCACACTCGAACACACTTAAGCCGATTACCGCGGGTTATCATTATACCCCCCGTGTACCGTTTTTAAGAGGGTTGCATGCAATATATTACTATTTACAATAGGTATATAGGTATAATATATTGTATTACCCGCTAAAAGTACAAGTCGAAACGGGGGAACGGAAAACAATTAAAAACCGCGGCCCCGAGTTTCAACACCTAGCCCCGAAAGCACAGAAGTCTAATAATAATTTTTCGTGATTTATGATGGTAACCAGCAAACACGACCACGCCGGCAGAGGCAATAACTTTTTACGCGAACACCACCTCGACGTACTACAATATTGGGTTTAAACGAGCACTAAAAATAATAACGAAAATCCTCTGTACATAAATACAACAATACACACCTTTGGACGATATTAAATTTTTTTTCATCTATCGCCTAAATTATCCAGACATGTTCCCGTACTATACACGTAGCACTGTTGAAATAGTGATTTTGCAGTTCACACATGTTTAAACGCGTTTCTTTGGCAGTTTACAACAACAAAAATGCATACCGTTCTCTCGGGATCTACCGCCCTGTCTTTTATGTTAGGAACAGTAAAAATGTTACTGGAATTATTTCATTTGGGTCGTTTCTTTTGGCAATCTAAAGATAATTCATTTTCAAAACATTGTATACAAACGAAAAACGAACGCCAGCAAATCGAATTAGCTTACATTTGAAATTACATTGAATTTTAGATTTTATTACGCGTGCAATATATATATATACATACCACCTATATGTATAATTCATAAGCGCAATAACAATATTTACAAGGTGTACATAATTTATCTCTTGTAGACACTCGAGTTGTCTATTGAGAAAAACAAATAAAAGA